GAAATCTTTGAGCGAGATGTTAGTACTGTAGAAGCATATCTCACACTCTAATCAGATGCCTTGTGCAAGGCTTACAAAAGAAGGTCAGGAACATTGGGAGCATTTGGAATGTAACAATACCCAAAGTTTGTAGACTCTGGTACATACACAAAAACTCAAGGAGATAATGATAAAGGGATGATAGAGTTGGTAGACTCAGATGGTAGGAACAAGTAAGTTAATGATATTCAACAGGAGGATTCACTGAGGAGTCTCCATCTATTGCAAGGGTATATATATACTAAGACACATGTGATACTGTACAGTGAATATAAATATTTATATTGTTTTATCATATTCTATATGATGTCATGTCATGTGACCAGTCATGTGATCAATTATGTGATTTCACCATATGTCCAGCTTATGCAATATTCCCATATAGTAAGTGCTATGTGGCACAAAGTCTGAAAATAAGAAAAATAGAAAAAGTGAAAATAAGTCCAAAAATGCTATCATGACTGCCACTGCCATCCCTACACTGGGGAAGTAAAAAAATACTTAGTTGGGCTTGAGGCGTTTGAGGTATTGGCAGATTGGGGACTCCAAAAAGTTGAAGTCCTACACCAATTTTGATGTACGTTTCTTCAGTGCCAATTAATACCATTTTGTAACATATGTTTAATACAATTTTTAGAGTGAGTGATTAAATGAAAAGATACATTTCTTTTGTCAGCAATGATGTAAATCAATTACAAAGCTGAAAACTCACTATAGAATTCTAAAGACCTATCTCCAAATATGACCAATTAAGCGTTGTTAATGCTATTGGCTGGAGGTAAGTAATGACTCATCCACAGTAGAAGGTGCCATGATCACGCCATAAGGTGTGGACCAATCGCATATATATCTCAAGTCATGTGCATAATCACGCGCCATTCCTTCTTGAACATTCCATAAGCGTGCATCTATTTGGTCACATGCCACGGTCCAGGGTTGCTGGGTGCTAAAGTATTGGTACTCGGCCTTATTCGCCGGACGTGCTTTAACACTTGCTCTTGATCTGCACTGATTAGATCTAATTCTTATCTTATCTACCAGTCCAGTTTATGTAGGCGCCGGGGGTAGATAACCGTTTGGGTATCTTGATTTTGCTTGTCCTTAATTTGCCGGGGGACAGTATTGCCTTCGCCCCTAAACTAAAATCAAAGTCCATATCTGAAACTATGAATACCATACGCCTTATTGCCAAAACACCTGCCTTCCCTTTTTGGGTCGGAAGGTTTGCTCCGATTGCAAGTGCAACCGATGTGGGCAATTCCACACTTAGCCCATGGACGCAATAGCTGGGGGGATATTCCAATCAACCCTACTAAATTGGGCGAGGATAGTGAGTTTGCGTTACGTAAACTAGTCGACTCTATCAGTCACTTGGCAGCCTAACACCACCATCCTTTCAAGAGTGCGCAGGCATTTATCAGCTTCCACCAGAAACGTTGGGCCCCCCTAGAGGGTTATTTTAGGTTTGGCCGATAATAGATTGGGTTCTTATGCCAATCTTTGCGCGATTTGGTCGGTTAGATAAGGTTAGAGTTGGTTAGGTTCTCTAATCAGACTTTATCAGGTCATTATTCCAAGAATAGACTTAGCGTGATAATGTACGGTTAGGTTAGTGTGAGATCACATAACTCTGTCCGAATATGAAACATTTCAGATGCAGCGGATCATCTGCGGGTTTTACTTCATCAGTATGTCCTGAAAAAACTTCGAACATTAAAATTATTGTGTACCTGCAAGCACATATGTACCATGCGTAAACATTTTATCATAGGTTTATTCAGGGTTTTAATCCGCGTACACCGTTCAAAGGTCCCTCTCAGGATCCTTTACGTTATCGTCTAATTCTGTGGATAGAATTTAGAATCTACACCCAATTTCAGAACAAGTATTGTTCCCTTACGGGGTTGTTCCTACAGGCTTTTTGTGTCTAAAGATAGCTACTAAGTCAGTACTGGAATGTACAGAGATAATACCGGATGTGGGATATATTATTTTTAGTTCAATCCCAGCCAATCTCCATACTTTTGAAAGGTTGCACTATTCGGTCTTTGACCGCATAAGGCATCCCAATCTACCAGCACTGGCTTTTCGCAATCAAGCAAGGCACATTTTCATTTCTTGACTCGCTTAAAAAGATTGTCAGTAACCTTTCTTGACACAAGCCAACAAGAATTGTTTGCAAATTTGAGTTTCTGCATATCCACAATGACCTAACGGTCAGAGGATGAGAGTGCAGGGGGCTCAGACGCCGCTAGGGGGGGTCCACCCACTGGCAAAAGCAAGGGGTCCTTTAGATCAGAAGCCGAAGCCTCCGACCCGCCGGTCTCAACCTGCTCAGCGCGGGGACGGTCTTCACCAAGACAGACTAACACCGAGTTATGCACCACCACATCATCGTGACCGGGCCGGTGCACAAACATGGGGAAACCTGGTGACAGTACATCACCAGCTGTGAACTTTCTACAATATTCACGCTAATAGCCGACAATGCCTGCCTGCAATTCTTTAGCGTCAAAATAATTTCACGTGGGGTTAAGTTGGCTTTTCAGGACTATAAGCGGGTCCATCGCTGCGTTGTCGTCATCCTGGACTAATAGCGGGTTTAACCATTGCTTATTCAATTCTTCCAAATTGAGCCATTTCTTTAACTCTCCATCAGGGTAGCCACAAGCAACATACAGTTGATAGTGTCCTTGCATGCTCTCCAGGAACATATCCTTGTGAGAACAGAGGGTAGCTAGCTGTGAGATTTCTCCTAGAACAGCCCCACATTCCATGTCTAAGGGGTGGTGGGAAATCCATGGAATTCTTTCGAGATAATTGTTCGCCTTCCTATAAGGTCTTCATCGGATTCCGCCGATAGAGTCTAAGTATATTTGCATATCTAACATACTTGAGACGTAGAAGGGTACTCCCAATTCATCACACAATCTTCAAATTTTAGAGTTTGAGCAAGTTGAAGGGCTTCTAAAGCAGACATTGCTTCAACTACAACAAACAAGTTGTCTACGAACCGTTTGTATAGAAGTACGCGCGGATCATGCAGGAGTTCGGACCAAGTCTCAAAATAGCAACCAAACAGGTTTGCAACACCGGGGCTACTCGCAACGCCCATTGCTAGGCCTTTGAGTGCTCGGTAAATTGTTCCTTGAAATTGTGTTAATAATTCTGAATGGGCCAGTTGCAGGCACCGTTCAAAAAGCCGGTAAGCTTTAAGTTCAGTCCATTCAAGTAATCCGAGATCTGTCCGGCTGAAGTAGTGTTCTAAGAATGACTCCAACACAATCTCTTCAGATCACTTCACCGGAATGGACGGATAGTATGCCACTATATCTCCCGTCACTAAATATACTCATCTGCGTCTGGTATCCAAATGATCAAGTGCTATAGCCATTTGTTTAGACAAAACTAGAATGGTCTCTAATTCGGAAATCACGGGTTTAAGCATCTTGCTTACATACTTCGCAGCTGGGTTCTGAATCGTGTTGTAGCAGGGGATTATCGGCCGCATCTTGGTCGGCGTCTTATGGATCTTTGGGATGCCATAAAATTCCGGGATCTTATGTATGCTGCCTGCCAGCATTTTCTGGGAAATGAAGAACTGTGTCAGCTGTTTTCCATATGAGCTTGCGCCCGCCATACTGCTGCATTTTTGCAAGAGTATGCATTGTTTGTTTAATATCACGTTTGCCTCAGTTTGACTTATGACCGCATATTGAACGGGGTCGGACAACAGTGACAGACATCTTTCTATGAACCAGTTTTTCCTAATAACAGCTATTCCAAGATTTTTATCTGTAATTGTGACCATATAGTTATTATCGGTCATGAATTGTTCGAGTTCGGCCATGCATGGATCCAAGGTTATTCTGGATCTATCTCCGCCATGTGTCTCGACCGGCATGGTGAGAATTGTGTTCTGCACAATGTTTCTTCTGATATCGAAGCTGCACTTAATGTAGCTGTAATAACCAAGAGTTAGTTACTCTGGCGCACACAAGAACACACTATAAAGGTAGTGATGAGGGTGTGGTTACCCCTTAAGCTGCAGAGAGTTTGTTGGTTAACAACAGGAGGACTCACTGAGGAGTCTCCTTGATCTATTGGGGTATTTATACTAATACAGAGTGTGTGTACCTATGTACTGTACAGTTGATAAAAGCGGTGGCTGATGGTGTCAGAGGGCGCAGCCCGTGTGACCAGCTCCACTGCGTCAGTGTACTGTACAGTTGATAAAAGCAGTGGCTGATGGTGTCAGAGGGCGCAGCCCATGTGACCAGCTCCACTGCATGAGAGAGTTTGTGTTTAAAAGAAGAATAAAGGCAGCGCTGCGCGAGAAGGTGGAGTTAGAACGAAAAAGGAAAGTGCCACATGGCACGGAGTGTGAACTATAGTAAAAAGGTTAAAGCGGAGAATGAAAATTAAAGGAAAGGTCCGAAAATTGTGTTATCGTAACAGTAGCCATAATATGATAACTTAGCAGTAGTTCTAACATGTTCTACCTTGTAATCAGGGTTATAAGCGTCTTTTTTAGGGTTCACTCCTTCTGCTAATTCATGGAAGAATTGCCATCTTAGGCAATCTTCTAAGTCATTGTATGCGGATAGTAATAAGTGAGTGTCTCATTCTTGGACAAATTGGTATTTCATCCCCACACTTAGGTGTATAGTGAGGTGGGTTGCAACGGTAACATTGGGTCTTAAATGTATAAGGCCATGGAATCTGGCTGCCTCAAGAATTGAGATAGGCACGTGGTCTAGGACAATACTGACGGCATCTGGGGCCGGGATACTTAATAAGAAGTCTGGCCATGTGTTACAATCATTGTAAATGAATTTTTTATCATCCCATGTATAATTGAAAATGGTCCTAGCACAAAGTGTCCATGTATAGTAAAAGTCTAGGACTGGGCGAACCAGCTCATACTAAAATTGACCGTTTGCAGCGACTGTCAAAGACATTTATTTCCGGGGGGCCTTCCCTTTGCCCTTCCTGTCCTTCTTCACCTTGTTGATCTTCCCCTTGTAAGGCTCTCCGCCTTTTTTGCCTTGGCAGGGGGAGGCACCGCGTTGCTTCTGCTTGCGCCCTCTGATCGGTCCATTAACTCCCTCCTCCTCTTGGCCGCCCTCTTCACGAAGTCGATCTTGTTCTTCTGTAAGAGAGTGGGAAAAAGAAGTTAAGGGCGATCTAGATTAAAAATAAGCACTTATAATTACCCTCTCTTTGACACGCGCATTATGGAGCTTCTGTATTTTCTTGAAGGCCGTGGAGACCTTGCGGTCTATAAGGGACTCCACAAATTTACTGCCAGATGCCGTCGCTTCTCCCATTGCAACATCGGTGTCCGCCTTCAAGGACCGCTTCTTCTGCACTTTCACTTCCGCTTTGTGAAATTTGGCGTCTGCGAGTACGTAAACTCGCGTCGCCCATGCTATGCAGTCCAGTTTGCACACGTTTAACTCCCGGTTTACTCCTGGGGACGTTTTCCACGATACAACCCTTAAGGGCCAGTCAATACCGTTAGCATTAACTGTGCCGAGAGTGGGGATCTGGCAAAGCCTCGTCTGCTCTTTGTGGATGATGGTAAACTTAGGTAGGATGTAGTTGTACATGGCGTGTGGCACAAGGGAGTTTTGGTACATCGCAGCTTTTGAAGCCTTATGGGCAATAGCCCAGTCCAGTTGCTCCTTCTTATAAGTGAGATGCGCCTTCTCAAGCGCAGAGCTCTCCTTCCTCATTTCCTCTTTAAATTGCTTTGTCAGCGGTATCTCAGGGCTAGAGCTACCTAGCCACAAGGGGAAATTACCCGCAATGCACAGAGCTTGCAGCTTTTTATGGGCTGCATCTGCTGCCAATTCCTTCTCATGAGAAGAAAAGACGAGTTCTAGGAACTCGCGAGCAGTGTCGGCATAGGGCATAGGCACTAGCGCAATAATTTCTCCAACAGTGAGACACTGTTGGATGGACAAGAGGCGCGCACTATGTGCGTTGTCATGCACCACAGTTGATTGGTAGCATGGACAGGTGTCAATAACGAAGCAAATATTCAAAAAGACTCACCTTTGCACCACACAGGCACAGTGCCACGTGGAATAGTAATTAATATTGCCCTTTTTGAACTTGTGGCTGATCAGCACCACCTCTATTAGGCAATCCAGTCACGCTCACCTTTGCTTTTCCATCCGGTACTTTCCGCATTTTGGCATTTCAGCAAATTTTCGCATCGCCACTGGCTACACATTGCATTGCGCCCTCGCTTTTGTTGTTTCCCTTACTCCCCTTCCTTTGCCTAGCCCCACCATGGGCCCCTTCCTCTCCTTTTTATTCTCACCTGACGGTCGTTTCTGGATCCCCATTCTAATCCACTTTTCCGTCACCTCCACCCTCCTCCTCCTCATCTTATTTGCACCCCCACCATTTCTGATGTCACCACTTCCTATCCGCTTCTGTTGCCGATCCGTTGACTACCACGTGCCACTGCTGATATTAGCAAAGCCCCGGCGGCCGGTCCAAATAGGGCAACAGGTCCATCTTCATGACGTCGATCTGCCATCATATACTATCAAAACATCGGTCGCTCGTCTTGCCTGGTTGGAGCGTGGGTGGGTAGTTTTTGAGCTGGAGAAGGTTCATCCCCTTGCGTTGCCCATGTTCATTGCTGTCCCATTCACTTGGGTACACTTAACTTTTGTCCATTGTCTTTGCTACAGCTACACCTACCACACACTGCCTGGGACTCACTTGTTCCAAATTGGAACTACTCCTCTCCCTCCCTCGTTTGATCAGGTGGTCCAACACAACCAGTCCATTGGTAAGGCCATGGAACTGTTGGATTTGGACTAGGTGGTGGACCGGTGGCTCTAATTTTTTTTTCAGCAGAACATTCATTTACCGTGCAATTAATTTTGATCTTTGAATCATTTTTATGGACACATGTTTTTTTAGAATGCCTGACTGACAATAAAGGAACTGTGTTGATACTGATAGTGTTTTGCCTTGCCCTTTTTTTACTGTATCTTCCCATGACATCATGATTTTCCTGCTCTCTTTTTGCTATTGGACTTTACTTTATGGCTGTACAAACCTGTGACATTACTCACAGCATTCATTGTTCTATCTCTTTTTTTTTCCTTTTTTTGATAATCTTATCCTGAACTACCTACGCAGGATTTGTCAGCATACATTCCTTCCTTCATGTTCTTTCTCATTCTTTTTGCACAGCTATACTGTGCATAGCCTACTTTTCTTTCACTATATAAACCCCTGTATTTTACCTTGTAAAAAAACAAGAACTCCATTCCAGACTTTTTCTCTAAATTCAAGTTCACTACTCTGCTGCTTGTGATCCAGTGTGGTCACAACACTTCCCACTGCTACCACTGTCAACTGCTGTCATCGTCACTTCCCATTTTTGAAGTCATTGTCATCCCTTCCGATTAGAGTCCTTCTGAGCACTACAGTTTGTGCGTCAGGAGCCTGCTATCACTGGGAACCTCGTCACCTCGTCATCCTCGTTGTTCTCAAACCTACCTTGTGCTACGATTAGCAAGGTAGTGCTCATCTATACTCGTCACAAAGCCCCTATCCTTCTACAAACTCAACTATCCCTCCTCCTCAAAACCCACACTCATACACCTCTGGGTTTTACTTTGAAGGATCTTTATACGTACCACCCCACGAACAACCAGACCACTCCACTGTTCTAGGAGGCAAAGCCCATAAACAAGTTTCGTGGAATCTGGGAGGATTGTGTGTTAGTTTGTTTTTGTGTGTGGTTTTCTAACAACAGTTCTCATCATCAACAGTGTCCTTGAGACCTTCCGGCATCCCACCCTGATGGGCGGCCCCCTCGGACTTTTTATAGCCACATGACCAATCACATGACACATTATGTGACCAGTGTCTAGATTCAATATGTGACCGGTCACATGCTAGACATTGGACTTTAAACTTTATTTACAACTGTACAGTACCTCATATATTGTAGTATATATACTGGAGCAATACATGGGGAAGGACTCAGCGAGTCCTCTTCTAGTGTATACCAACATTAGTATGACAAGTTCCCTCTCTTGATAAGTTGTAGGCTGTGCTCTAGTGCCCCAAGATTGTATCCCATTAGTGTTGTCACACCACCCTAATCCCCTACACTTGCTGGAGCCTTGATTGGTTCAAAGGTTTGAACCAAGTGCAAACATGGATAGGGACACTACAGGTCTGGTCCAGAACCTTGGTTCAAACTAAAAACCTCTGAACCGAACCTTAAGTTCAGGTTTAGTTGGGTTTAGTTCAAAGCCTCCATGGCTTGGTGGGTTTGCAGTTTAGCGGTTCAAACCAAGTTTGAACCCCAGCTGATGATTTGTTTTTATTTAATTGTGGCATGGCTATTTTGGCAGCACAGCAGGCACTGCCAAAATAGCCACTTCCACAACTACTCAACCACTCAAAATTGTAACACAAAGTCATCATATCACTGTGAGGCAACTTTAAACTATAACAAAAACAATACCCATCTCCAACTGCACTTGCAGGGAGTAATAGGTACAAGGAGTTTGAGGTCAACAGATGTTAGAGATTATAACAAGTAGAGGACTAAAAGTAGACTCAAGGGTTTCTGATGAGGAATGAAGTGGGTTAATCAAGTAATAAAAAGCTAAAGAACTATACACGGGTATGTAGAGTTTTTATAGCTAATTATCTATTTCTCAGACTGAAAGAGGAACAATAGAAAATATTAAGAACAAAGCTTAAGGGAAGTGTCTAACCACTTACTAAGAGCTATCAGGGACTGGAACTAGAGTCCAATGTGAGTACCTAGTTATTAGAGAGTACAGAAGGTATACAATGCCTAGAGTCCAATGTGAGTAACTAGAGAATAGGAAGCATTGGATTCTGCAGTACTATTTGAAGTTTTGTAAACAAAGGTAAACAAAGCAGCCACGAAAGCGAAATAATAGAGAACACATCAATACTGAATGGTAGAGGAATAGATAGAGAAAGGAATGAAAATATATAGATAGCACAAAGGTGCAGAATTACCGAAACTAACAAAAGTGAATGGTCCTTACAACTTCAAGACACTGCTCTCAATATTGATGGGTCCCTCAAGGAGGCCCAACAAATAGAGTGGTACCAATCTGAAGATGACAACACACCAACACCGGTTGCCAGTACCTCAAGCAAGTCCTATCTCCAAGGTTGGGAAAATTCTTGCCAGCTGCTTGACCCTGAATGACTCCTTCAGCCAGAGGAGGGTTGCCAGTTCTACCTAGGATGATGCCACTGCCACTGGTTATAACAGCAGCATCACCACTGTCAGTGACCCCTTATACTCATCAAAAACACAGATGAAAAACATCCTGTACTTGTCTATTTTTATTTTTACTAGCATTCTGAGCTATCTGCTCTCATCTGCTGGTGCTTACCCTCATTTACTCTTATTTGTTATTTACTGTAGGAAATGTGCCACACATGGCCAAGTCTACACAGCTGGGTATGCGCAAGCAAAAATGGAGCCACACCACCAGGCTATATATGTCTGCTACAGTCCAGGACCAGACAGGTCAGTCAAGCCTTGATACATTTGTGGGCCAGGCTTTGAAATGGCTAACTACTTTCAGGCATTCACTATTGTCAATAAAAAGTCTTTTAGGGCATGCTTCAATTCCAGCAGCCACAGATGAAGCCATCTGATATTCCCAATCATGACAAGCTTCAGAAAACCATTCTTTTGAAGGCACTTGAGGTTGAAGGTAGTCTTCAAGTGCTTTTCAAGGTAAGTCAATGGTCATATAACCTGGAATATTATCTGACATCATTTTAGAATATACCTGCCAGATTTTGCTTACATTTGATGCTTGGACATCACTGACTTATGACCTATACCTTGCTGTACCTGCTTAATATATTAATACATTTACTGTAGTGTTCAATGATTAGCAGCTCACATCTGCTCTATTAGGGTATACCCATCTCCAGAGAAATCATAATGGTGCAAATGTGGCTGCTGTTATCCTCAGTATTGTTCAATACTATTACATTTGCAATAAGGTATATTTTGACCCTGATTATGTTCCCAACTACTCACTGGTTGTTTTCAGATTGGCTGGATTGCATCAGACAATACTACAACCAGTGATAAGGCCATGTTTATTCTTCAGCGGGTCTTGAATAAACCTGGCAAGCCATGGAATGCACAACAGCACAGAACTAGGTATATTGCTCATTAATGTCCTGCCAAAATACTAATATTATCGTATAAATAAGCACACAATTAATTTAGCATCAAGAGCTTCAGCAAGACTATTTGTCTAGCACCAGCTTGTTAAGCACTTTGTGTGTAACAGGGTCTGAGGGTTCGTCAAGGTTTCAAAGAAACTTATCCAAAGGCAAGTTCGAGGACGTAGTTCTGAGTAAAGTTCCTCCAACTAGAGTTGGTTTTCTTCTGAGTAGAAGTCTGATCTTAGGAGTCTAGCTTTGTAAGCGTAAACTGCATAGAATTGTATTGAAGAAATACTACTATGGTTACAGATGTATTTATAGGAAATAGAATCGGCGATAGGAGTTAGGTTTTATCCAGGGGAGGTTCGTCCATTGAGGACTAAGTACTATACAAGGTGATGCAACTGCGAAGAGAATGGGAATGTATGTGAAGGAAATGAGTCATTGGTCCAATGGTATAACCAATGAGTAGAAGAAAATGAGTAGTCCATAAAAGAGGATAGAAGTCGTAACATTACCCCTTACTTGCTTCGAATTTCACCAAAATTTGGTACCTTCGCCATCCATGTTGTAACTGTCGTCATAGCTGACATTTCCATGTAATCCCTTCATCAGAATCCTATCTTCGTTTTCCATACGAATAGGACACCAGTTGAAACTATGTCCCGGTGCACGACGGTTGCAGTTGGGGCAGTAGTAGGCTTTGCATTAATATGTGCAATGATCGCTCCAACCGCAGTTTTGACAGTAAGGAGAATTGTCGTCAATGCCTTGGTGGTATTTTTGTCTGGTGTTGGACGAGGTGTTGGGTTGGGGAGTGGGGGGATCGTCATCTCCCAAGTTGTGTGTTTCTGCATACAGCTGGTTGATCATGTCGGCATCATCTACGCTGATTGGATTGGAAGGAGAGCCAGCCTCAGGCCTGTGCATTGTGCCAGGCAGACTGTCTTTCCAACTCTTTGACGTATGAGATTGACGCTTTGATGGAGTTCTGCCGGTGGGGATCTGGAGTATCACTTCTTGCCAGCCACATCAGACTCCTTGTTGGTTTGTCAGGCGACAGGTTAGGCCGTTTGGTACTGGTTGAGGAGGCAACTGGGATGTCTGTGGTTTGGGTTCAACCTAATGGAACGGGGACTGGAGGGGCTCGAATCTTGCAAGATCAGGCTGGTTGGGACGGTGGGAATGTATTTTCCCGCTGACTGGGTGGGCAGAGGTTGTCAGGTGATGATGTGGTAAGTGGGCTTCCGGGGTAATACTGGTCTGATCAGGGTATGATAGGGACTGGTGGGACAAATTGGGTGGAGGAGTACTCATACAACCATCTCGCTCTATCCGCGTGCACGCCTCTGTTAGCAAGATCTTCCCGCCTAATTCCAAATATGCCTTTGCCGCGTCCGTCTACCCAATCGAGGAGTTTATCCTCAATCATTGTTCCAAAGATTCCAAAACTAACTTTTCCATTCGGAGTGCCCGACAGATACTTGAGTCCTGACTGCTGAGCAGTGAATGCTTGCTTTCCAACAAATGTAGTGAGTATATAGCTTTTAAGAATTCATCAGCTACGAGGTCTATGGCAAGGAAAATATGTAGGGAAGAAAGAGCATGGTATGCATTGGGGTAACATTTTTCTGTTTTGTGAAATAAATAAATGTAGGCATTTTTGGCTGACATCAGTTCTATGGTGTCAGAGACATCAGCTTGGTTGTGTTGTTGCCCACAAGCCAAGGACACTCATTCATTGGCTAGCATGTTGACTTTGCCGGGTATAGAATAGGTGGTGATAGGAAAGCTGGAAGAGTGAGAAGTGGACATGTTTGCATTGAGAGACAAGGGACTGGTGGTATTGAGGGTCGTTTTCTCTTCAACGTAGTTTGTGGTCCTTCTTATAGGCTTCCAGTATCTCCGCAGCATTGGTCAAGTGTTCTTTTGGTTCCCATGGAGGAGGACTGCTTGGAGGAAGACGTGGTGTTGGTGCTTGATGATGATTTGGGCTGGGTGATAGTTTCCCTGCTGACTTTGCTGCGTTGTTCCCAATAATGAGTGTCAATAGTTTGAGCAAGGGTCTGTAACTCCGTGAGGGAGTCTGGTTTTCCAATGCAGGAGATCATCTTTGATCCTTGTAGGGAGTCCTTTGTAGAACTGATGTCGGAGTGCGCCTTTTCCCCAACCTTGGATTTGGGAGGCGAGACAATTGAATTCCACCATATACTCATTTAGACATTGATTCTCGCGTATCTGGAGGTGCTCATTCTGCAACTCCACGTCTCCGGTGGGGTCATGAGGTCCAAAATTGAAGCGGAGTTCGGAGAGAAACTCAGAGTAAATACATCCAGATAGGAATAGTGGCGAGGTTGTTTGGGGTCAGGATATCTGGCTCAAACTAATCTAACACCATTCCCTTAAGGAAGGAGATAGCGTAGTTGATCTTCACTCGGTCAGTTTGAAATGTGCCCGGATGGTCAATGAAGTTCAGCTGGCACTGCACAATGAAGGAGCAGAGTTTTTGAGGATCAGAGCTATTGAGAGTGTCTGGCTCTCTGATCTTGGTGCATGCGGAAACACTGTTGGGTGTATGTCTGGATGATTGGGCAAGCAAAGTAATTGCTTGAGCCGGAGTGAGGTCTTCAGCATCCTCGTTTCCTGGCTCCATGCGGGGTAAATCCCACAAGAGTAGGTATTGGAGAATCCAGAGTGGGGGTTGGGGTACAAGGTGAGCCGGGATGGATTGGGGAACCCCTGGGGGTACAAGAAGAGGATGGGTGTTTGGGGGCCATAGAAATTCATTGCACTTCTAGGGGTCGACAAGCAGAAAAGCTGAAGAAATCTGTGTTGCACTGAGAGATATTATGTACATGTTTGACCATGGAAGATGTGGAGGGTCCAGGAAGTTCAAATAATACTGTCAGAGTTGTGGCTTCTCTGGAGTAGAGCGGAGCTGCAGAGTACGGGAATGGGGTGAGAGAGTAATGGAGAACGAGGTGGGGAATTAGCTTAGCTCATGCACTAGGCCCTTCCACGGACCTTGGTCCCTAACTCGTTAGAATGGACGGGGGAGAGTAGAGGTTGAAAAGGGAGCAGAGTAAAAACCCTTCAGAGAAGGGTCGGAAAGCTTAGAAGGAGACTTGTAAAAAGCAAGGGAATCTAGTTGATATTCAAACTGCAGTAGCGGAGTATAGGAGCTACAACTTATATACTGTTGGAGGAGTGGGGGCCCGTAAGGAGTAACTCATAATGTAGGTACGGAGTTTCATGCGGACAATTATCTAGTGATAGGAGAACATATGTGCAAGAAGTGTATTATAAGGTCTGACTATAGAGTCCATGAGTAATACTAGAACATGCAAGGAGAAATGTATGGCGGACTGGAAGCCTGGTGCAGGAGCATTGGAGTGGATGACCAGAGTACAGTGACTCCAAAAACCCTTTCCATGTTGACTCTGGGTGTCATGCACAAAGCATACCATCAAATAGCTTGAGAATTGCACTTAGTTTTGGTGGAGTCATAATTAGTACATACTCTTGGCTATAAAATTGCCCCATAGATCATGTGATTGGGTTTACATGCTATAGAGATATGGTTGATTTAAAATAGAAACACCATGGAAAGGGTTTTTTCACTTTTGAACTGATGATTAGAACCTTAGTTAAAACAATGAATATTTGCCATTATGTGTTGGTACAAACAAATGTTAAGAGCAAAGCTTAAGGGAAGTGTCTAACCACTTGCTGAGAGCTATCAGGGACTGGAACTAGAGTCCAATGTGAGTAACTGTATAATTAGAGAGTATAGAAGGTTTACAGTACTAGAGTTCAATGTGAGTAAGTAGAGAATAGGAAGCATTGGACTCTGCAGTACTGTCTGAAGTTTTGTAAACAAAGGTAAACAAAGGAGCCACAAAGGCAAAATAATAGAGAACACAATCAATAGTAAATGATAGAAGAATAGATAAAGAAAGAAATGAAAATATGTAGGTAGCACAAAGGTGCAGAATCACCAAAATCAATAGTTATAATGATTCTCAGAGCTGCAATAAGAGTACTTACCCTCCTCCATTTCTCGCTGCAGGTCTTCCAGGATTTAGGTGCGTCCACAAAGGGGCTTTTGGACAATAGCAACTCGACCTCAACCCAGAATGAATTTGCGAAATTCATACCATCAGCCACTCTATTCCAGTTCTCTACTATATAGTCAATCATGATATGCTGTTGACTCTCAGACCAAACCACCCGGTCCTTGGAAGTCTGTCCAGTCATAGTAGAATCTGTATCAGGTGGAACAACAGTTGATTGGGTAGCTGGGACCGGTTGATTGTGGATCATCCTGAGTGAGTAGTGATGGCACTTCTGTTTGCAAGGAGGTCCCTGGGCTGCCAAAGAGGCAGACACCTTCCTCGTCATGGTGAGCGACTGGTGTAGATTGCGGTATGAGTCTGAGCGCAAATGGGTGGCGCGACGGCATAGCGGCACAGATGGCTGTGGGGAAGGCTATCAGGCTAAAGCCCCCGGAAAAGCGCTCGCAAGAGTTCCCAAAAACGGACTCGTAGTATCTTGCGGCTTCCGGCTGGGCCTCATGTGCCGTTCTTCTCCAGCCGATGTCCCTTGGTTGCACTGCATCGTACGCTGAGATAATTAATAGTCAGTCATGACCCTTCCAAGTAAAAATATCGAGTATGGCACAAAAGAATATTGGTGAGTTCTTTATCTGCTTCAGCACCAGCCGATGATTGAACTTGGGACCAGGGATCACAGATATAGCCAGTATGAATGATAACTGAATTGAAATACCGGTTGTTGACTACGGTGTTCTCCACAGGCATTCGGATAGTGCAACTTTTGACTGGTTCAAATCATACGCAGAAGTAGCACATCTCATTCGAGAATATGTTCCCGACAAGTCCTCGAAAATACTAATGCTCGGCTGCGGGAACTCTTCTCTCTCTGAGGACGTTTGTACCTGTATGCAACATTGATAAAGGACACGACCTCATTTCTTCTCAGATGTGGCAGGATGGATACAAGAATATCGTGAATATTGATGTGAGTGTGCATATATGTGCCTCAGACTCTAGACTGCGCAGATGGTAGCACCACTGACACCTTGTCCAGTATTCGTCAGTAGTCATTCAACAGATGAAGCAGAAATATGGCTCCATCAGGCCAGGTATGGAATGTAAGTTTATATCCTTCAAAATTATTTAGCTTTTCGCATGTAATCGCCCTGTCTTAAGGGCATGAGATGGATGTGCGCGCTCTATCTTTCGGCAATGCATCTTTTGATGTAGCGATCGATAAAGGTGAGCTCTGCGGGAATCTGAGCACTGTAGTCGTTGATGATGTCGCGATAGGTACGATGGATGCCATGATGGCGTCCGAAATTAATGTATGGGTGAGCATACTACTACCTGCAAATGCAGAATGTGCTAGCTCCTAATATTTTACGTTTTAGGATCCCCCTACGCAGGTGGTTGAAGACTGTACCAGAGAAGTGCACGAAGTTATGCGGTGAGCGAACCTATTATCTTAGCGTTGTCTCCTCAAACAATTCCTATAGTGTCCTTCCTAGAGGCGGGGTATTTCTGTATCTCACATTCGGTCAACCTCATTTCCGTCGTCGTTTTCTATCATTTCCGGATACAAGTCTCCAGATCCGTGAAATTGGGGAGATGTTCCACTATTATCTATATGTATTGAAAGTCTGAATATGAGTATAAACAACTTCAGAACTCATGAGTTACATTAAATAAATCCAAGTACTAGACTAGATGTTAGAAAAGGAATTTAACATTTTTGTAATAATCCACCATGGGGTTCTCGCCATTGCGAAGAGTAGTTTTACTGAGGTCAGCGTAAGTCTCCAAAAACTCTGTGTGAGTAAATACATTCGATTTTCGTTCCCCAACAGGTAATCCGCTGGCAGATGCCATCCCATCAATTGGCGACCTACGTGTATGTGGTAAATGGGAGGAGAAAAAGTCAGAGCCCAGTGACAGGGGTGAGATATTTGTCGATAGTGGAGACGTTCGACCAAGAAGTGGATTTGGACGTGAGAGATCCGACTGCGCTGAAGCGTTGTGGGGCTGCGAAAGAATGTGTTCATACATATCTCGCAGCCGTTCAAAGTCGGTAGGGAAAAATACATCAAAGTACCCCTGCCTTACGAATAATGTCGAACAGGGCACCATGGTGGCTCCGATGCGTGTCTGTACCACAGGAGAATTGAAACCCGGGATAGAATCTGGCAAAGAGGAGAAATCCGAAAGTAGTAGCCGATGTCGTGGAAATTGGCTACGCAAGATTTGCAGAAGGCTTAAGAGACGTGTGGGAATATACTCTGGGGGTGACAAATTTGGTGCAAGTGGGAGACTGGCATATACCTGACGCAATACTGATACGTTGAAAACCTTCGATAAAGGATGAGGGTGTGACAATCTACTGCGAAGGGCCAAAAATGCTGAGATAAGAGGGTCCTCAATCTTGCTGTAAAAGGTCGAAAAATCGCTATTGTTGTCGATGGCAACAAAGCATTGAAAAGGTTCGAGAGTCTTCAAGTCGTAACGGATGACATCATGAGCAAAGTTATCCTGGAGGAAAGCAACCCATTAAAATGTAGACATTCAGCAGAGCAGTGTAACGCACGATTACTTCCATTGCCACAAAGTAGCATGGAGCCAACTCTCGAGTGTTCCAGCGGAATATGCTTTTGTTAACCACTTGCACACAGGAATGAACAAGACAGAGCGTTTGTCTCTGCTGCTCGGCTAATTTGGCACTAATCTCGATGATAGTATAATGCGTACGGTCATAAACGCTGGGATACTGATCACGGATGTAATCGAGGATATCCTTAGCAAGCGTGCCATTGCCAGCGCCGAGTTCATAGATATTGAAATCTTCATACGGGTAATATTTGAGGAGATATTCGGACACGAGGCACTGTGCAATTGCCTGACCATACCATGGCTATTGCATATTATCAGCATTATGGTTTATGCGCCCCATCGACGAAGTAAAGTGGACCTTGAAGAGTTCTGTCGGCGTGTGCCACAGCTGCCTTCCTGGACCTTCGTGATCAGCACCCCCGAGCACAAAATACCGCCTTGCTACTTCAGCCTCAAACTCGGTGCTACTCTTCAATTTATTGAATTCGAAGCAGCTTTCAGGTGCAGTTAGAATGCAAGCGCGTTGAGGGAAGTACCCGTAGTGAGGATTGTACAGTGAATCCTCGATGAAGTCCCGCACCAACATCTTGACGCCTTTGGGAGGGGTCTGTATCGCTTCTAATTCGTTCGCGTTTACTAGCTTGTAGTCACTGTAGTTGGTGTTGGTAGCATCACTGAAAGAAAACTCTTGGTTGTAGTTGAATTTATCAGCTTTGTGACCAGTCGTTGAAATGGCTGTCGAAGAAGAAAAGGTGGAGGGTCGGGCGGGTGCGTGATATTTTGTCCATGCAGACCGAGGTGGGCGCTGCAGTGAACTTCTGGGTAACAGGAGCTTGCGCAGCATGAGTTTTGTGGACATCAATCAGGGAACGGAGAACAATGTGTTTTAAAAAAGCAAATAATAATACTAGGTAACCCGGAGCGGAGCCACCGGGACCATTTTAGGTGATATCGGGATGCCGAATGCCGGAAACGCCAATGTGATAAGATCATTTATACTTATGGGCTGGCTACTCTATTGTGCTTCCTGGCATCGACTGGAAAAATCATCCATAACACTACTTAGCAGCTGTTTCAAACAATTCACGGTCCACCCACCGATCCCTCCCACAGATGGCGCACAATCGGGAACATTTCCCCTCAATAGGCGATATTGCAGAAAAAACAGATATCTCAATTGAAAGCAATCAAAGCGATTCTGTGTTGAACACAAAAGAGTCATCAGAGAGCAGTGAAAGGCCTCTTGAAGAGGTGACATCGCTATGTATGCAATGTGGAGAACAGGTACTGACCTTAAGCTGCTCAGTTGGTGTGGAGTGCCAGAGATACTGATTATAACGTTGCAGGGAATTACCCGCCTCCTCCTAACAAGTATCCCATATTTTCGCGAGGTCATTGTTATGTCTTTCCGATGTGATCATTGTGGTACCTCCAATAATGAGATACAGTCAGCGGGGACAGTGCGAGGTCTGTCCATTCCTAGGATTCTAATGCAAAGATCCCATCTGACTTTGTGTTATTAAACGTATGAGCAGAGGAAGGGACCATATATACTGCGAGAATACTTTTTCGCAGCGACCTCAACCGTCAGATCGTCAGATCGTCCACCTGCGTTGTTCAGATCCCCGAATACGAGCTCACTCTTCCACCTTCCCGTGGCCAACTCACTACCATTGAAGGGTTACTTCGCGACATCGTGACGGATCTCGCCACAGAACAACCACTACGCCGTATTCGTGCCGAAGCCGCATATGTGAAAATTCAGTCGATATTGGATGGTATACAGAGTATCATAGGGCAAGTTGACGGAGAGGACTTGGCGAGCAACAGTCCACTGCCCAGCAACTCTGTTACTTCTCCTATCACCATTATCTTAGATGATCCAGCTGGGAGCTCTTTTATCGAATTTGTAGAAAGTATGGCGGATTCAAGATGGAATATGAGGACTTACCGGCGAACGGCGGAGCAAAACATTGCGTTAGGTTTCGCGGCGCGGGATGATATCCCCAACGCTTCTACTGAAGAAAGTCTCACTAGAATACAGGCAACCGACATAACTGAAAGTAGTGACAACCTAGGACATGGTCAGGAAGACATGGATGGCGAGGTGTATGAATTTCCAGGGAAATGTTCGAGCTGTGGACATTCGCTAGTCACGAGGATGAAAAAAGTCATTATACCACACTTCAAGGTCAATTTATCGTGACTCGCCGTTGTTCTCGAACTCACTTTCATCATGCATTAGGACATTTTGATCATGTCGACAAATTGCGATAGATGTGGATACAGAGACAACGAAGTAAAATCAGGGACCGCTATCTCTGCCCTTGGCAAAAGAATTACGCTCAAAGTTATAGATCGCGAGGATTTGAGTAGGGATATTTTAAAGGTAAACCCCCGAGCAACGACAACTGCATTGTTCTTGACCGTTTGTGCCCTATGACAGAGTGAAACTAGTGGTCTATCGATCCCTGAAATCGATTTAGTACTTCAAGCTGGTACACTGGGCGGACGATTTACAACTGTCGAAGGAATCTTGCATCAGATATACGAGGAATTGTCAGACAAAGTTTTTGCATCTGGTGATTCTTCTATCAAAGATGTGAACACAGAAGGGCGGAATATATTCGATTCTTTCTTGAAAAACCTCAAACAGGTAAGGATGTGTTACCACCATGCCACCATTACCTTTTGCTTAGTAGTATGGTTTTTTCAAGGTGGCAAACGCGGACCGTCCATTCACTCTCATACTGGATGATCCACTAGCCAACTCGTATGTGCAAAACCTGTATGCACCTGATCCGGACCCTAACATGGAGATCATGACTTATGAGCGTACCTGGCAGCAGAATGAAGAACTTGGGATAAATGACATGAAGGTCGAAGGTTATGAGACTTAGAATGATATGGACATGTGCTTCGATCATATAATAACATGGCTCCTGTTAGAATTCCAATTATTGACACCGAATGGGGGGCTCCCGCACGCCACACCTTACTAAGAAGAAGCAGGCCTTATACACATAAATATCAGTTCTCATCTTTTGTGATTGAAAACCAAGCTACCGAATTGAGAGGGCCATAGTAAAAAACAAAATAAATTTGAAACACTCTCCTACCGATAGTAAAGGAGATGGACATTAATACGAGTAACCAGGGAGTTGAGTAAGCGGGCTTCCGAGCGTGACGTTTGCATACGACCATTAGTGTAGTTGTCTTCTGTGTCAAAGACACTATTAGCACCTGATGGTTTGCAGAGATAACAGTCCACTCACTTCACAGCTAGTCACACCTCCCGTCGCTCGGACCATCTTTCCACCTCTCGTCTGTTTTCGTGCAATCAAACCTCTCCTTCCCAAGCCTCTCGTTCACATCGTTATGCCTCTGACATAACCAATGACTCAGCGCAGCCTTCCCGCTCACGTCTGGGGGATGTTCCTTCAGGTTGTCTCCAAGATGCGAGGCACAGTGTGAACATGGGTAAAGTGTGGGCAATGAATGAAGAAGATTGAGCATGTTCGCTCGTTGATTTGGTGTTGGCCGTTCTGGATAGTAGGCGGCGGCAGTATGAAGGAATGTCCATGTTGCGCGCCCAAGCTGCTCGACGTCAGGAGGGCACTGAGAAGACCGTGCGTTGATGCGCTCGTTATCGAAGCCTTTTCCAAAGGCAAAGGTTGCCATCATAGCTGCAGTAGACTTTTTTTCCCCACCCGAAGTCGACTTGGAGTCTTTGTAACCTGTTGGAGACCAGTGTCGGAATGCAGTACATATTTTGCACGGTTTGCCATCAGGGCCAATAACCATATCTGGAGGAATTTTAGCCGAATTCTGCTTATCTCTGTGTTCCACCATTGCCTGGTTCAGAGGACAGGAAACAGGCAAAGGTGAAGGGACACTGCACAGTAATGCAACTTGAAGTGAATACGTTATCGAATCTCACAAGGATCACGTGACATCAAGTATTCTAAAATTACTGAATTTAGAGAACAACCTGGCGCTGGGCCAGCGGTAGTTGCAACCCTTACCAGCATCTTTACCGCGTGTTCAAAGGTCGTCAGTTAAGTACAGCAAAGCTCTTAAGTTTACTGATATCCACCGGGAGGCTCATCTTACATTCAAATACTCGCGTCTCATAACCAGACCCTTCAGTTGGCTGGCGCTCTCATCCAGTCATTCTGGCCTTCTTCGCGATGCTCCCAACCCATCGACAGTCTTTCAGAACTCACCCCTCGTCCGACCAGTCTACTTTAAACAAGGCAAAGTTTCTCATCGGCAGACCTACTCTTCGTTGGGTTCTTTTCTGCTTTGCCTTGGTCTCTATGCTTTGGCTAGTATTTCCCCTCATTTGGGATCGACGTAGTCGTAAAACACACCGGCCTGGATATATCGTGAATCCTCCTAATCATCCGGGTCATCATCCTCCACACCTGAGACCTCACCTTCCTTGGCCTCCTACCTTGTGGTCTACTAGAGCTGAAGAAGTTAGAGACGCTTTCCTTCACGCGTACAGTGGCTACCAAGAATTTGCTGTACCCCACGATGAACTGCTTCCCGTATCCGGTGGCAACGTAGACAAGTACGAAATTTTCCAGTAACTGCTCTGGCCTCCTGCCTACTGACGTCTTTATCAAAGTTTCAATGGATGGTCAGTCTCAGTGGTTGACTCATTAGATACCATGTGGATTATGGGCCTTCAAGACGAATTCTACGAAGCTATGCCATTTCTTGCGAATATGTCGTACTCAAATCAGGTATGCTCTATGTTCCCATGTGTGTACTGGGACCGAATGGTTATCTTGAAAGGATACGTACGTTGCGTTCTTCGAGACTACAATTCGTTATCTTGGCGGTCTCCTCTCTGCATATGCACTTTCTGGTGAACCGCTTTTGCTGGCTCGAGCGGATGATCTGGGCAAAGCTTTACTTCCAGCCCTCAATACATCTTCTGGTCTTCCCATGTTTGCCGTCAATGCTGCAACGTAGGCCCATTTAATTGATTTACTATTTTGGCTAAGTAGTGGAGATAATTTAGCGGGGGGACAAAGGCTGGCTGGAACCCAAATGTGCTATGGGCTGAGGCTATGAGCTGTCAGCTAGAGTACAAATATCTGGCTCACTTGACTGGTAGATCTCAATATTATCACAAGGTACGTCATCAGTATTCTTTCTTAAGAATCTGAGGCTCATCATGTACGCAGGTGGAAGCTATTATGGATATTATGCATAACGCCAATATCAAAGATGGATTATATCCAACACTGTGGAACCTCAAAGATGGCACTCCAACAAACAGTGCGTGTCGCACTGTGTTTTAACGGTGTAGATAGATATCATACTAGTTCTCAGCTCAACACTCGGTTGGCGCTTTTGCTGACAGCGCCTATGAGTATCTCCTCAAACAATGGCTATTAACTAGCCGAGCGGAAACCAAAGCAAAGGAAATGTGTAAATACACAAACATTTTTTTATTATCGAGCTCACAAAAGATGTAGACCTGAACTCCGCCAAGGGTATCATTGATAACCTCCTTTTCCTCACACCTAAACGGCAGCTTCTATATGTCACTGACACGATTGGTGGCAAGCCTAGTCACATTTTTGAACACCTCTCATGCTTTCTGCCTGGGCTGCTCGCTTTGGGCGCTCATACGCTTGATCTTGCACCTGCTGAAAAACAGATACACGAGTGGGCAGCAAGCGGCCTAGCTTATACATGCTGGACATCGTATGCTGACCAGGCGACTGGTCTTGGACCAGATGAAATGGTTATGGTAGCAGGAGCCACACAGAACGTAACTTCTGGCCGCTGGGTTGACGTAGTTGCTGATTGGGTAGATCAAGGAAGGCCAGGAGGCTTACCACCAGGCTTGCACGAACCACCGGTGGTCAAGGTAGGAACAACGGAAGAGAGAGATTATTACGCCAAAAAAAATTCATACCTGCTCAGACCCGAGGTCAGTTCTGAATCACCTTAATATCATCGTTGAATAGAACATTTGTGAGATAGACTTTGGAGAGTTTTTATATTCTGTGGAGGACTACTGGAGACGAGCGTTGGCGGGAACGTGGCTGGTCCGTGTTTCAGGCCATTCAGAAATTTACCCGCACGAAATATGGATATGCTAGCATCAGGCTCGTGGACAATGCATTTCCAACCATGCTGGATGAGATGCCAAGGTGGGTGGTGTAGATTGACGTTTCGAAATTACATGTGGTGAACGACTTTGGGATGCAGCTATTTTCTAGCAGAAACGTAAGTCGTTAGGCCTGGAATGTATTCTTCGTGCTGAATTTGAATTTTATGCCAGACTGAAATATCTCTATCTCCTCTTTACCGATGAAGAACTGATTCCACTGGACCGTTGGGTATTCAATACCGAAGCCCACCCTCTTCCAGTTTTTGAATGGACCAATTGGGAAAAGGCAGAGTATAATATCCTTTCATGACAAAGACTGTTTCATGGTAATGTACTACTTGTTTTGTTAGTCCTCCATGCTGATTCCATGTCACGCTTGATACCGCGTGTAGAACTATTTAACCATTCTTTCGAGGTCACTTACTGTACTTCGATACTGTTTGCGGCGCCAGTAATGTTCAAACAACGATATGCCACCATGGTTATAGAACTTTAGGAAACATCTATAAATATTTATAGCACGCAGTTAGGGACAAGACTGGTATTTGTCAGAAATATGTGACTACGCGTCGACGACCACCTCATGGTGCAAATTTTCATATATCCTCTGATTTCGATCTCACCTTCTTCATCTTTGGTTCCCCACCATTGCCTCGAGGTAATACGTCGTCCGGTCGATCCCCTTGTTGACTTGCTAGTTGGAGATGGGCTTGTAATGCACGTTTATGTTTGAGCCTACCAAGCTCCCTTTTACCAAGGGCCTTCTCTGCATCATTATGCTCGCTGATCCCCTCTTCAACCTTGTAAGGTAACACTTCTGATGTTTCACGATCTGCAAAGTTCTGTTCGACTTCTGGGCTTTTAGGTAACAAAGAAAGGTCCGAGTAGAGATCCAAGGCCTTGAGGTCTGCCATGCTTGCTGTCAAAAGAGAAGCCGGTCAGACAAACTAACTTGTTTCTGCTGTCGAGGGAAACTCACGAACCTGGGAACATGCAATGCGCGTTCAGAGCAACAAGAAGCGGTAAATTGTGGACTTCAATGAACTTGATGATGTTGGACTAATCAGTTGCAAACTACATTCACAAAAGAAATGACATACCTTTCCCGAGTTCCATTGCACTACTCGGACCAATTTTTTGGGGAGAACCTCGACGGTTTCTGTGACTTTACTATCCCATCCAGAATCTAACAGTGTCCAGACAAGCCCGTCATGGGCTATAATGAAATCAATGACGGGCTTTCCGAAATCGAAGAAGTAGATATCCGACGAGCCGTCACCATCAGGGTAAGGACATATGAAAATGGCTGTAGCCCTGGATCCAGTTATCAACACATTATTTGGGTCGGGTTGGCAAGAATAAGACGAACCCAACAGCATTAAAGACCAAGTAATGCCCGTGTTCCAAGTCCAAGGAGCTGATCTTATGAACAACGAATACAGTGCCATTTGAGTCAAATGCAGTATTATCTAGGGTGGTCGAAATGGTATCTTCTCCCACAGCGTTTGACTTTTCCTTTCCTTTCTGCTTTTGCCTTCCATTATTCTCTTTATAGCTTTTGGTCTTCTTGGCTTCATATTCAGCTTTGATTTCTTTTCTCGTTAGGGGCCTCACTCTGATGAAGGGTTCGACAGTGGAAAATATAGCGATTTCTTGTTGTAACTGTCCACTACTCAGCTCCCATATTTTTAAAGTGGGATCACCCCCGCCGGAAACTATTGAGGATTGAGAGAATTGAGGTATGTGTAACGCAGAAAGATATCTATGGTGATGAATTAACATGATAGCACAGGATAGAGCAGCTCAACAAACTTTTCATGGCCAAGACAATAGCTTACGATATTATATCCCTGCGGATACCAGCTTACTCTGATATGTTCGTCTCTATCGGCAGTTACTATGAATTCTTCATCGGCCGTCAGTAGAAAAGATGTGAGCAGAGAAGCATGGCCAAGTATAAGCTCTCCTCCAGACGGATTTTCGTGGGATGAGAAAGCATCACGCCGCAATTTACTCGACGAAGCTTCTGCCTGAGAAGCATGGAGAGGATACCTGAAGCAAAAGCCGAGTTAAAGTAAACGTTCGAAGAAGGCTTTCTCACTTGCCTAAAAACGTCGCCAAACTTATCTGATACGAGAATATCATCTGACTTAGTAAACTCCAAGCGCGTAGGCCTCTTGGGTAGCTCTCTGAGGAATACCAATATCAGGATTTACTCTGCAATAGAAAATGCCATACCTCGAGCTCAAGACCTTCAAGCCTCCCACTTCCCATACTTTCAGCTTTTTATCGTCTCCTACAGTTGCAAGAAACTGGTATGAGCTATTGACCGCACTACAGCGGACCGGACCAGACTTCAGTATTGCGTCTTTGTCGGCTCCATCAAATCGATCAGTTGTATAAAGAATCTCCCCGGTGCTATGGATTGTTGGAAGAACGTGATGATTATTTACATATCTTACTAGTGCACTCACTTTATATTGAGGACCTGGATATGTGGACCCGAAGCTACAATCGCATGGATGGACCCAAGGTGGAGCTGCGTATGAGGAAAACAGGACATGAGCTTACTCTCAGCGTTGTTCAGATCTCTTAGATGGACTCGGATCCGAATCAATGATACCGTTTTCGAGCTGTCACAGTCACGCGCGTAGAGCAGTCAGTGGTTCAAATTGTAAGTACCCACAAATGAAACGAGTCTGACGGTCATCCAAGTCTTAGTGATCAGCGTGCAGCGTGCGAGGTCATGGCGAATACTACAATTATGTCGCGTCCCTTGGATCTTGTATACTTTATGTTCTTCTTGGTACGTATTTTGACCAGAAGTTCACCAGTATTCACCATATCAAAACTACAAAACTACAGCTTCACATACCTGCAACACTTTTCATCGATCTCCAAGCGCTCTATCCACCGTCGCTGGTGCCTCGAGCTATCAGTGGTCTCCCACAGCTTTACATCCGAATGTCCGGTGATCCGCTGGTTGGCGGTGTAATGGGACTTCAAGGACAAAGCAGTCATTTTATTTGGTTCAAGTCATTTTTAGTGGTCGAAGCGTGAGTTTCTGATGTTATCTAGCTACTCGTATATTTCGAGCTTGAACATAGATTTTTCCAATTACCCGTCTTTGTTCTTGGCGCGCGGGGTCTTTGGACGGGTAAGTAAATATATTATCAATATGTTCAGGATGCTCATGCCCCCTTTACCCTCAGGTTCACATTCGATATATATCCTTCTATTAATTTATGCCGCTTCGACCACAACGACTACTCTGCCTTGTCTTTCAGTGCTCCTTTACACCCCAATTACGTCCCCTCAAACAGTTGCACAAGGAGTCGTTTCTATATCATTTGCTCAAAGGCTATTGCTACTTACTAGTTACCTACCATTTTTCTTTGTGCCACTTGTGATGACTTTCGACATGGCTTCACGTGTGCTGAAACTTGCCAACGTCGGGGCTGCAATAAAAGATGCAGAGAAGGCGAAATAGAATGTTGGCGTTTCTAGAATTACAGCGCTTGTGCAACACTATCGTTGGACAGCTATTGCATACGGTATTGGATATCGTCTTGGGCATAGACTCAATGATTGTTCTAGAAGTAGCCAACATTTGCCAGAGCTAGATCATAATGAATAAATCAACGAAATAATTTTGTGAATATCTCATTTGTAGTGACCAGGTCAGACCTCACACCAAGCTCACTACCTCCAAAAGTGCAAAATTTGGGAGAAAAATGACCAGATCTGGCCAGACCCCATGCTGGAAATATGTGGTTTCTTTCTAGAAAACATCAATGGGTAAATCACAACAATGCCAGGTACCTACTAGTCTGAAAAAATCTTTGAAGTGCCTGCAGATGGGTGAATAATGCTGAAGTTGTGACTTGATGACTGGAGTAGGCAATCATGCACCAAAATGATCAATCAAAGCCTGCTAGCTCTACTTCAGCAAATGCCCAACAACATAATACATGACATCAATCCTTGCCACAGTAAAAATACTAATGAATAGTTGTAATTGTAGGCATATTTCTATATACTCAATATATCATTTTCATGATTCAACAGTTTATTTGAGCCTACGCTAATATTTCAAGTACTAGATAATTCATTTACAGTCCGACCCTATAGTTATGGGAAAATGTTTCCCCATTGGGATGTAAAAACTCGGACTTTTCCTTCTCATTTTTATGCTCGTTTCTAGAATATTTACACCTCAGTTTGTATTGCACAAAACTGAGGTTAGTAGATACAGTCTTTTTCACATCTTCATTTACTTATTATGCTTCAGTATTGATTTCTTAGAGTAATTACCTCTTTTTTGTCTTCTCCTAATCTTATATATTTCTTAAGCTCCAACAGGTTATGAGCCCTAGGGATGCCAAAGTTCAGTTCACTTTGGTTCTGAGACACATTTATCCAAACCCCAAATTGACCAAACCTGGTTCAGTTGGTGAGTCAGTTTGGTCCAGGTTTAGGGATGCAAATGTTCAGTTCAGTTCAGTTCAGGGGGTATTTTTGGCTGAACCCCAAACCACAATTTTGAGGATTTGCCCAAACTAAACCTAGCTTAACCAGAACCTAAGGTTTGGTTTGGTTTGGTTCTGGTTTGAACCTGTGAACCAAACTATAACATGGGAAAATTTCCAAGGAATGCTAAAAACGCCAACAAATGTTTCTCTGACTAAGAACCAAGCTGTGTCTTTGAATAGCCATCACAGAATCAGATATATTCAAGTGCTTTTACACCAATCTGCTACTATATGACAATTTTATCCTCTCATATCCAGTTTTTTTTTCTTTTGCACCCAACAAACCAGTTTTATTATTACGATAACACAATTTTCGGACCTTTCCTTCATTTTCATTCTCTGCTTTAACCTTGTATACTTTAGCTTTCACACATGGTGCCACGTGGCACTTCCCCTTTTGTTCAAACTCCTCTTTCTCGTGCCGCTGTCGATGATGAGAACTGTTGTTAGAAAACCACACACAAAACAAACTAACACACAATCCTCCCAGATTCCACGGAACTTGTTTATGGGCTTTGCCTCCTAGAACAGTGGAGTGGTCTGGTTGTTCGTGGGGTGGTACGTATAAAGATCCTTCAAAGTAAAACCCAGTGGTGTATGAGTGTGGGTTTTGAGGAGGAGGGATAGTTGAATTTATAGAAAGATAGGGGGTTTGTGGCGAGTATAGACGAGCACTACCTTGCTAATTGTAGCACAAGGTAGGTTTGAGAACAACGAGGATGACGAGGTGACGAGGTTCCCAGTGATAGCAGGCTCCTGATGCACAAACTGTAGTGCTCAGAAGGACTCTAATCGAAGGGGATGACAATCACTTTCAAAAGTGACGAGTGACGATGACAGCAGTTAACAGTGGTAGAAGTGGGAAGTGTTGTGACCACACTGGATCACAAGTAGCAGTAAGAAGTGGACTTAAGATTAGAGAAGAAGTCTGGAATCGAGTTCTTTGTTGTTTTTTTTTTACAAGGTAAAATACAGGGGTTTATATAGTAAAAGAGAAGTAGGCTATGCACAGTATAGCTGTGCAAAAAGAATGAGAAAGAATATGAAGGAAGGAATGTACGCTGACGAATCCTGCGTAGGTAGTACAGGATAAGATTGTCAAAAAAAGAAAAGAAAGGGATAGAACAATAAATGCTGTGAGTAATATCACAGGTTTGTACAGCCATAAAGTAAAGTCCAATAGCAAAAAGAGAGCAGGAAAATCATGATGTCATGGGAAGATGCAGTAAAAAAAGAGCAAGGCAAAACACTATCAGTATCAACACAGTTCCTTTATTGTCAGTCAGGCATTCTAAAAAAATATGTGTCCATAAAAATGATTCAAAAATCAAAAATAATCGCACTGTAAATGAATGTTCTGCTGAAAAAAAGAAACTGGAGCCACCGGTCCACCACCTAGTCCAAATCTGACAGTTCCATGGCCTTACCAATGGACTGGTTGTGTTGGACCACCTGATCAAACGAGGGAGGGAGAGGAGTAGTTCCAATTTGGAACAAGTGAGTCCCAGGCAGCGTGTGGTAGGTGTAGCTGTAGCGAAGACGATGGACAAATGATAAGTGTACCCAAGTGAATGGGACAGCGATGAACATGGGCGACGCAAGGGGATGAACCTTCTCCAGCTCAAAAACTACCCACCCACGCTCCAACCAGGCAAGACGAGCGACCGATGTTTTGATAGTATATGATGGCAGATCGACGTCATGAAGATGGACTTGTTGCCCTATTTGGACCGGCCGCCGGGGCTTTGCTGATATCAGCAGTGGCACGTGGTAGTCAACGGATTGGCGACGGAAGCGGATAGGAAGTGGTGACATCAGAAATGGTGGGGGTGCAAAGAAGATGAGGAGGAGGAGGGTGGAGGTGACGAGGAGGTGAACTAAAATGGGGACCCAGAAACGACCGTCGGGTGAGAATAAAAAGGAGAGGAAGGGGCCCATGGTGGGGCTAGGCAAAGGAAGGGGAGTAAGGGAAACGACAAAAGCGAGGGCGCAATGCAATGTGTAGCCAGTGGCGACGCGAAAATTTGCCGAAATGCCGAAATGCGGAAAGTACCGGATGGAAAAGCAAAGGTGAGCGTGACTGGATTGCCTAATAGAGGTGGTGCTGATCAGCCACAAGTTCAAAAAGGGCAATATTAATTACTATTCCACGTGGCACTGTGCCTGTGTGGCGCAAAGGCGAGTCTTTTTGAATATTCGCTTCGTTATTGACACCTGTCCATGCTACCAATCAACTTTGGTGCATGACACCGCGTTGCCTTCTTCTTATTTTAGATACAACTCTCTCACACAGTGGAGCTGGTCATGCGGGTTAGGCCCCATGACATCATCAGCCACTGACTTTATCAACTGTACAGTACATAAGTACAATCACTCTGTATTAGTATAGATACCCCAATAGATCCAGGAGACTCCTTAGCGAGTCCTCCTGTTGTATACCAACAAACTCTCTGTAGCTTAAGGGGTAACCACTCCCTCAACATCTTCTTTATAGTGTGTTCTTGTGTGCGCCAGAGTAACTAACTCTTGGTTGTTACATTTATAGGCATTCTTGACCATCTGCAAAGCTTCAAATGTCTCAGGAAGAAGCTGGTTTCTAGCCACTGTACCTGTTCTTCCAGCACTAGAGAAAGCCCTTTCAGATGCCAAAGATGATCCCTGTATAGCAAGGTAGTCATGTGCTACCATGGATAATATTGGATACTGAACTGAATAAGGCTATTGATTTATTAGTAAGGATATAGTAAAAGGCAGAATATAGGACTCACCCCCACCACTTGATAATATCAGTAATATTAGTTTCCAAAAAACTATTAATATAGTCCTAAAGTTCTTGGTGAGGGCTATAAGTGGTATCCTTATGGTTCACTCTACTCTGAACTATAGAGTAAAGCCAAGAAGCACCATAGCTATGAGTGGCTGTTGGAGCAGCTGAAATGGCAAGTCAGTATGAGAAAGGTGGCAAAGAAGGATCACATACCAGTAATAGCTTCAAAGTCTTCAGAATGCCTATTACCTTTATATATCTTAGCATAAACATTAAACTAGTTTAAAATGTCAAAACAATTCCAAAGCTATCAAAAAAAGACAACTTACCTCTTTTTCAAGAGCTTATAGTCCATTAAGGTAATATATTTCATCCCAATTCATCTGGGTATATTCCAGCTTGACACCAGGATTGAGTGCTGTACAAGAAGCTAATTAATATTATGCTTTTGTGAGAACCAGTTGACATATACTCAAGCAGATAAAATATATATTAGTGTCATTAGTGGCAACATACCACTTATGAAACTTATTAAGACCTTTTTGAAGTTCTACATTTACTGGAGCAAACTTGGTATTCTTCAACATCACCCTCTATCACTGCTGAAGGCATTCAATTATTAGAAGGGTACATGAGCTAGTTGGAAATATTTCAGAAGAGAAAGAAGACTAAGCAGCTTGTGGTTCAGCCAAAACCTCTTTGATAAGTGCCAAAAAGTTTTATCCCTGAAAACAATACAAAGTCCTTGTATTGCTTCTTTTTAAGCCTAGGGATTTTGCTACTGATATCAGCTATGGCACAAAACTTGTTGACTGCTTGGAAATGGGGTTAGAAGGGGCTTTAAATGCAAAATATGGCTTACTGGTTTATGTGTGATAACATGCTCAACAAGATCATGCATAAATCCCCATCTTGTACATACCCACTTGATTAGCTGCAATGGGGTAATTTCCTCCTTTTCACAGACCTTTATAAAGTATGCTTTGGCCTGGAGAGGTGATCGCACCTAAAAGGCTATAAATAAGGTGGCATGAATGGTAGAAAGCTTTATTTGGTTGACAAAGGCCAAAACTTTACCCAAGGCATCACCAGTATCATGTTTCTCTTCATTATGTACTTCCTCACTATCAGATACCATACCGTCAGGATCCGTAACCCATTTATTATTGTCTTCATCTTGCACATCTCTGTTTTCTGTCTCAATAGTCTTGGCTGTGCAATAGTAAGCTGCTGTGTTACAATTTTTATCCTCTTTTACAGACTACTCATTTTATTTTACTCATTGGTTATACCATTGGACCAATGACTCATTTTCTTCACGTACATTCCCGTTCTCTTCGCAGTTGCATTACCTT